GTAGAATTCACCATAACGACCAATGCGTGCCGCGGATTCTGCGAGTCATACTCAGTGCCCTCGGTTCCCTGGACGGGTTCATCGCTAGCTGTTTTATTCAAGCCACCGAAGCCAGTGGTAAGTGTTGGTCAATGTTGCAACATGATGAAGTCCGAAGAGGTAGGTTTGGCTTTTAGATCTTTTCAAATTCTTAAAAAATTATTTTGTACCAACCGTTTTAGATACAACGTCGCGTCCTATGTATAGAAGGTATTCGAAACTTCACCTTTAAGAGTGCTGTGTCCTGCAGCTGTTATCACTGCAAAAAGGATTAGATGAGAGCAAAACTTAAAAATTTTATGCTTGAGCCACCTTCTTATTAAATTTAGAATAATGCTTATAAATGCTTATTATAAAAATACATAAAACGCACACCCGAATAACAAAAGTGTATGTTGTAATTTAACATACTTATTTTTAGTCTACATTGACATAAATTCTAGCCTCTATGTCTTACTGTTCAATGGCTTCTAGATTGGTGTTGCTAAAAAAAAATATCATGAAACTGTTCTGGTGACCGAAACTGGAACTGGAGAACTCACCAAAATTGAGTATCCAAACGTTGTGGATGTAACAACACGGGTAAGTCGTCTGAAACAAAAAACTATTTCAAAAAAAAACTTCTGATCTCAAACAAAACAGCTCTTAACGAGCTAAAAATGTCGTGACGATCGCACCTTCAACATATCTAATATAACATTTTTTGAAGAAAAATTAAAATTTAAATGTTAAATGCCTACACAGGCATTTTTATTGCAGCTCGACGAATGGGATCATTTAAAAGTGTATTTATTTAGTCGAAAGTTTATTCATTTTTCGTCACAAAATTTGATATCAGATATTTTTTAAAGTTAATGCTTACACAACAAGAATGGAGGCAAACTTCGGCAAGCCCATATAAACTATGAACTATTCAAAAGTTAAAAAATTTGTAAAACAACACATTTTCGATTGTTATGCTTTTATATTTTACAAGCAGCTCTTTGATGTCGTGGTCTGATTTTAATAAAATTAGAACCGTAATTCTGAAACAATAAACCATTACACTGTTTCGTACTACATATATTCAAATCAATTGAAAAACAGCCAAATTATAATTTTTTCATATTTTTTTTTGATTGTTCTCATGGGAGCTGTATGGTATACTCGTCCGATCCGGCTCGTTTCAACTTCAACTAATAGTTTTAAAACTCATGGGCTAGTTTGCGTAGAAACGAGTGGACAAACAATCGGACATGGCTATACCGATTCTCCTAATGATGCTGTTAGGGTCGGGAGTGTGTCATTCCGACTGAAATTAAAATACCATTTGTAGGGAAAAAGAGGCGAGTATCTTAACACAAGAACAACACTACGATTCACCATAGAAATGCTGCATATCATAAAAACACCTACAGACATACGGATGAACTACAAAACGGACACTGACAACTGCGCTCATTTATATAGACACTTACTAGGGAAAGAAAAATTAGTTACCAACTCCACGTCATCGGACGCAGACGTGTAAATTAAATGTATGTCAAATGTAAATTTTTTTCTGATTGTTAAGAATATTAAAATCGTTATTAATTCATAGTTGTCCTAAAGACCGTTGCCGAATAGCATCCGAAATATATTGACAAATAACCAAAATTAAAAATATTGTGTTATTTTTTCAACATCCTGACCTGACCAATTAATATTTGTAGGGATATAAAAAAAAACGAGAAAGTTATCTGGCCCTTTAGAACATTAAAATTTAAATAACTTCGTTGTTTTTAAGATCTTTACATCTTGCTAATTTTTTTGCAAAGTATAAGTTTGCTTAAATTAAAATTAATTTCAAATTTGTAATGGTTTATATACACTGAAAATAAAAGTTTATTTTTAGTCCATAGAAACTAAATTACACAGCTGAGTGTACAGCGGAGCGGGACCCATGTGATCTCTAGCTCTTCCGGGAATTGGGGGGGTTGTTGCTGACCCTTCTGCCTAACATTACCTTAAGAATAATTTTTAGAGTCCCTTTCTGAAACTAAATAACCACACGATCATGGTTGAAATACTCAAGCGGTTACCTGCATAGGTAAACCAAACAAAGCAACACTAGGCGAATTGACTCAAATCATTGCATGAAAGTAGAACTTTTCAGAAACCAGCTAATAATTAGCTGTTGATTGACTCACACGAATTCGCTACCCACCCTACCATGTCTTTAACCTTAAAAGAATTATTAAAGAACCCAAATTGTAATTTACATTCCCAGGTCGCGAAAATAAATCAGTAACTCACTCATAACGTTCGATTTAGGCATTGTTACTACAAATGATTTATTTAGTTGGCAACTAAACCAAAAAATTAATTGCGGTGCAGTTAATGTTCTGCTTCATTATAGTTTTCTTGCTCAATTAAATTAATTTTTGTTGTGTCTCTAACTATTTATCTATTTACTTATGAAATATAAATTTAATAATATTACATTTTTTTGATTTTTGTTTTCGTTAATTGACTTTACGCACAATATTGGATCATTACGTAAGCACACACACTAGCTGAAAAGGCGTAGAAATTATATATATATATATGCAAAAAAAAATGTATGAGATTAATTATTACAACAAAACATTTTTCTTTTTAAAATAATGCAAACACAATGCAGATTTATGCAGACGTGTTAGACGAATAACGGATGTATAATCAAAACAAAAGAAAGAACCGCTATGAACGTAACTGACTGCGCGATAACGGCATCATCGATGGTGAATAAGCATAACACGGACAGAATTAATATTTGGATTAAGCTACATACATTCATTTGGTACACTTACCCGCGTCCAATTCTCGTTGAAGGCCTTCAAGAATACATGGATGACGAGTTGATTAGTCCCGCGCTTTAGTGTACGGGTAGGAAGTTTTATTTAACTTAGTGCCAATAATTAGTTCCAGAAATTTGAGTACGCATTGTTTCCTTTGTTTTGATTCGATTTACACTGAAAGATTTATGTCATCGCTGGCGCACTTCCAGCCAGTGTTGTGTGTTTCCGTACCTAATCTGCGAGTGAATTCCCAAAGCTGGAAAGGTATTGGTTGTTGTCCTGACTATGGCACAGTCGGGTCTGGCCATGAAGGGTGAAGGGTATAACCCGAGCGCATTAGCTGGTTGGGGCTGGTAATTTGTCGGTCTCTACATGGCGGCGCTAGTTTTCCAAATCCGCCCGTAAATGTTTCGTCCCTCGCCGGAGCTACTAGTGATTCTGTTTCTTGGCTTGCACGATCCTAGAGTAGAGGAAGACACCGGGGGAGTGCTCGTGTGGTAATAGAAAAGCGGTGGCGCGCGAGTTACCGTACCGGTAAAATCGACTATGCCACCGCCTAAACCTCCCCGTGTTACCCTCTTCCAAGTGGACAGTGACCGACAGCTAGCCGTTCGTTGTCCCACATAAGATGCACATAAGAAATGCAACATCAGCACAAGGCAGGATGTTGCTAAACGACACCCACTCAGCAGAGCTCCAGAAAATACTTTGTTAGCATTTACTCACCCACACATACATAATTGTAAACACATAAAATTCTTTGGCGGAGGTTTGATTTGAATCTCAAGCCACAATAAAAATTATTCCGTTTGGAACAACCAAAGCGAACACATCAACTGTTTATATATAAACGTTAACTGAATATTGGATGAGTAAGAATCACCGTTAACTACTACCGTTACAACATACTATAACTCGCGGCTGATCGGCACTGAAGTGGCAGAGGACCGGATTTGATGGTCTCACTCTGGCTGATGGGAAACGGAACGCTTATGCCAGTTTGAGGTTAGGGCGAACTGATGCACTTTTTGGGGCCGTTCCCCAAGACTTTGTTTGGTATTTCAACGTAACCTGGCCGTTTGAAAAGGCACGATTAGTTGGGAGCCAGTGCAACCTAGACGGAACGGAATTAAAGCTGGTGGCTCCTTATTTTTTTCTTTTTATGCGGCGTCTGCCGTTAATATTTACCAATGCGATTCCAATTGAAATAATTGCAACAGTTAATTAATTAACTGGAATGCAGAGGTATAGGATGCTCTTGATTTTTATAGGTTTAACTAATCATGTGGGCTTAATTGAGGATCTGGCCAATTGGTACGTCTGGTTATCTTTACGTTGCAAACGGAAAAGGAAAGGTTGTGGCCGAAGTTTTGTTTTTCTGGGAAACGTGGATGCAATTCGATACTGCACCAACAGCTGATCTCTTTTTGTTTTCACGATACTCGATATACTCAAAATACTCGAGATTATCGAACCGGGCTGCAGAGAAGTTGTGTAAGTATCGTAAGGCGCGTAAACAAAACTTCAAATTTTTAAGCTAGACATTTAATTTGGTCAAGGCAACCATTACAAATTTAAATTTAAAACAATAATTAATAGTTTACAACTATTTAATCAAAATGTTTTTCATTAAACCTGAAACCATTTTTTTTAATAGCATTTTCCTCACCAGATCGGTGGTGGATACTTTCAGGAGGAAATTCTACTTAACTTCTCCAAACTGAGAAAGTTATCCATTTTCGTTGCTTTATAATTTTCAAAACCATTCACGGTATTTGTTTTATACCAAAAGTTGAGGAAGCTCTAGGGCTATAAACGTAAAAAGCTAAACAAAATCGGATATATTAATTTTTTAAACTTTTCAAAAAAAGGAAAATAAACAAATAAAAATTAAATAATTTTTAAACTATTTTATTAAGAGCAAATATGTTAAGACTTCGTGATTAGCATTTGAAAATACCATTTTAATGACATATATCACTTGTCTGAAACTTTACTAGTTTAGAAGTAAACGCGATTTTCCGCTAAGTAAGCTTGTTTTTCAAAAAGTCGGAGACAAACCTTTTTTGTAAAGACCTGCCCTCCCAACACAAAATTTTTAGTATGTCACTTTCACCGCCCTTTCTCCTAAACCAATTAATTAATCATTCTTCTTTTTATTCCAACGGAGGCAATTATAAGTTTGGTAAGGTGTTTATTCTCTCATCATTTCCTATAAGGCTTACTGATAGTTCTGTTTGGTTTTTGTTGGATTTTTGTTCAAGTGCGTACAAACAAAAAAAATTGAATGTTTCGCTTTGTATGCTCATTTCAGCTGCCTTATATTTGTTTTCCTGCTTTTAGGAATCATTAATTTTCATCAGGAATATTTAAAATATTTCCTTCAATGCTATAACCATTTCTTTGTTTGCCAGTTACCCAGGCCTGCACAGACGTCGTAATTATCTGCCCTTATAAAAGTCAGAAGGACACTTGACAAATCTTAGCAGTTGTCAAGATGCGTTCGGTCCAAATATTGGTGATTTTCTGTTGTTCTTACTTGATTGTGCTCGGCGAAACTAGCTCGGTGGGCAAGGACGCCTGGCTGCGTCCTGGCTGCCACAAAGTTGGAAACACGCGAAAAATTTCCATTCCTGATTGCGTAGAATTCACCATAACGACCAATGCGTGCCGCGGATTCTGCGAGTCATACTCAGTGCCCTCGGTTCCCTGGACGGGTTCATCGCTAGCTGTTTTATTCAAGCCACCGAAGCCAGTGGTAAGTGTTGGTCAATGTTGCAACATGATGAAGTCCGAAGAGGTAGGTTTGGCTTTTAGATCTTTTCAAATTCTTAAAAAATTATTTTGTACCAACCGTTTTAGATACAACGTCGCGTCCTATGTATAGAAGGTATTCGAAACTTCACCTTTAAGAGTGCTGTGTCCTGCAGCTGTTATCACTGCAAAAAGGATTAGATGAGAGCAAAACTTAAAAATTTTATGCTTGAGCCACCTTCTTATTAAATTTAGAATAATGCTTATAAATGCTTATTATAAAAATACATAAAACGCACACCCGAATAACAAAAGTGTATGTTGTAATTTAACATACTTATTTTTAGTCTACATTGACATAAATTCTAGCCTCTATGTCTTACTGTTCAATGGCTTCTAGATTGGTGTTGCTAAAAAAAAATATCATGAAACTGTTCTGGTGACCGAAGCTGGAACTGGAGAACTCACCAAAATTGAGTATCCAAACGTTGTGGATGTTACAAAAAAACTAAAAAACTATTTCAAAAAAAAACTTTTGATCTCAAACAAAACATCTCTAAACGAGCTAAAAATGTCGTGACGATCGCACCTTCAACATATCTAATATAACATTTTTTGAAGAAAAATTACAATTTAAATGTTAAATGCCTACACAGGCATTTTTTATTGCAGCTCAACTCTTTCACCAAGAATATAAAATTTACAATGGCACTAGAAGAAAAGGACCAATTACCTTATTTGGACTCAGTGATAATTAGACGTGGAAATCGATTAAAATTAAAATGGTACAAGAAACCAATTGCGTCCGGACGAATCATCAATTTCAACTCCAAACACCCAAAACAAATAATAATAAATACAGCTAGGAGCTGTATACATAGAATGCTCAAAATTTCAGATACGGATTACTACGATGAGACGACCCAGGAGATAAAATCAATGTTGACAGACAACGATTTCCCAAAACACATAATAAAAACATTATTATCGGAACACAAAACAAGAAAACAAAACAGCGTTAAAAACAATAAAAACAAAAAATATATGTCAATTACATACGTCCCGGCATTATCCGAACGTGTAGCGAAATCGGAATGCTACGACAAAGAAAACATAAGTATCGCACATAAACCGGATCACACATTAAAATCTATATACAACAGAACAAAATCAAAGATAAATGAAATTGACAAAAAAGACGTAATATATAAAATACCGTGCAACGGCAACAACAACGAAACATGCAACATGATATATAGGAACAACAAAATCTAAACTTAAAACTAGACTAGCACAACATAAATCGGACTTCAAAGCTAGACATCATACGAACGCACAAAAAACAGCACTCATGTCCCACTGTGCCAAGAGTAATCACTCACCGAACTTCGAAGAGGCGAGTATTTTATCACAAGAACAACACTATGCCAAACTATTCACCATAGAAATGCTACATATCATAAAAACACCTACAGACATACGGATGAACTACAAAACGGACACTGACAACTGCGCTCATTTATATAGAAACTTACTAGGGAAAGAAAAATTAGTTACCAACTCCACGTCATCGGACGCAGACGTGTAAATTAAATGTATGTCAAATGTAAATTTTTTTCTGATTGTTAAGAATATTAAAATCGTTGTTATTATTTTATAGTTGTCCTGAAGACGGTTGCCGAATAGCATCCGAAATATATTGACAAATAACCAAAATTAAAAATATTGTGATATTTTTTCAACATCCTGACCTCGAGCCGGCTCACAATTAATATTTGTAGGGATATAAAAAAAACCGAGAATGTTATCTGGCCCTTTAGAACATTAAAATTTGAATAACTTCGTTGTTTTTAAGATATTTGCTTACATCTTGCTCATTTTTTTGCAAAGTATAAGTTTGCTTAAATTAAAATTAATTTCAAATTTAAATTTAAAACAATAATTAATAGTTTACAACAATTTAATCAAAATGTTTTTTTCTTTAAACCTGAAACCATTATTTTTCCTCACCAGATCGGTGGTGGATACTTTCAGTAGGAAATTCTTCTGAACTTCTCCAAACTGAGAAAATTATCCATTTTCGTTGCTTTATAATTTTCAAAACCATTCCTGATATTTGTTTTATACCAAAAGTTGAGGAAGCTCAAGGGCTATAAACGTAAAAAGCTAAACGGAAATCGGATCTATTAATTTTTTAAACTTCTCAAAAAAGGAAATAAACAAATAACAATTAAATAATTTTTAAACTATTTTATTAAGAGCAAATAAAAGTAAAGTCTGAAACTTTACCAATTTAGAAGTAAACGCGATTTCCGCTAAGTAAACTTGTTTTTAAAAAAGTCGGAAAGAAACCTTTTTTGTAAAGACCTGCCCGTCCAACACAAAAATTTTTTTTCCCAGAATTTAAAACAAGTCCTTAAAATTTTTTGAAACTGACAACGACACGGAAAAATGTTGTATTTTTTTTTTTTTTTTTGTTTTTTTGTTTTATTTAGTATTAGCTATTATACATAAAATTAAATTTAAAATATAATAACTAATTTAGGGAAAGGAGTAACTAGCTACTGTGGCCATCGACTCGACAATTGATAAAACTTTTGTTTGTATTTGAGAATTAATATTTAAAGCTGGTGTATAATTTTACATATGCGTAGGAAAGATAATACTCGGTTGGAGTTAGAAGCTGTAAGGTTTATTCTGATGTTTTGGTAGTGTCCACAGGTATCAAGTAGATGTTTGACTGATAGTTCAGCTCCGTAGTTAGGGCAGTTTAGCTGCCTTTCGCCGTTGAGGATGTGTTTATGCGTGAGATTTGTGTGTCCAGTTCTTAACTGACTGAGAATGGCGCATTCCCTTCTGTTGATCGAAGTAGGAAATTTGATGTCCTTTTTGCCAGGATTAAACTGTTTATACCAGTGGTTAAACTACGACCAGTCCTCCAGTTCGATGTTCAGCAATATGTTTTTGATGTTTTTCCAGATGTCCTGTTGTACTCCAGGGATGATTGTGTGGCACGGAGCTCGTCCAGCTAGTTTTGCAGCTTTGTCAGCTAACTCTTTCCCATCTATTCCTATATGAGCCGGGACCCATAATAGTTTTATTTTGCTGTTGTTTTTGATACAGAGGTGACGAATTTCTGATAACAGGTTGTTGTTATTGCAAAAGTTTTGGACTCCTTGTAGGGTGGACAGACTATCACTGCAGATGACATATCTTCCCTTAAGTTCGAGAGCAAGTTTAATTGCCTGAATAATAGCTAGTGCTTCCGCAGTAAAAACGGAGAAGTGGTGAGGTAGCTGACCCCATGAAACAATTAATCCGTGTTGGTCTACCACTGCAAAACTGGTTGTGGCGTTGGACCTTGAACCATCGGTGTAAAGCCATTTCCTATCGGAGTATTTGTGGGTAACTTCTTTAAACAGCTGCTTAGACGTTGTGATTGATGTCCTTGATTTTTGGAAATCGGGCAGTGTAGTGTCTGTGGCGGTGGCGCGTAATTTCCACGGAGGGGACGGAATGACTTTATTCCAGCGATAAGGCGTTTCTATTTTGTGTCTCTTGATAAAGGATATACATCTTCGTATCGTGGATTGGATTTTAACTTTCCTTTGATGCTTCAAGGCTACTTCAAAGTCCTTCAGCAGAATAGAGTTGGATGAGCACATGAGTTTTGGTATTATTATTATTATTAATATCGGGGTGTCCAGTGTACCGCGACCTGTAAGATCTATTGTACCCCCATTCATAAAGTCGAGGAGTTTTAGTGGGTTGATTCTTCCTAGGAGCTCAGGTGTAAGAGTTCTGGTTCCTAAGATTTTACATCTTATACTTGCTAATGATGTGTCTAGAGGTTTCGTCCTCTATGTCGCAGAATCTGCAAGTTCTACTGCTGGTTATTCCCATCTTACCTAGGTGACTTTTCAGTCTACAGTGTCCGGTTAGTAATCCGGTAACGATCCTAAGTGAATTTTTCCCCAGTTGAATAAGTTCCTTGAACCTCTTCTTGTTATAGTTATTTATTTGAGTTTTGGCTTGCCTTAGGCCTGGGGTATTTCTCCAGTGTTCTTGTCTCATGGCGCCTTCCACTTTCCTAAGGTATTCTTTTATAGTGTGCCTCCCTATGCCACAGTAGGGCTCTGGGCCTACCAGGGGCTGTTCGGCTCCTAGTTTTGCCATTTTATCGGCAAGTTCATTTCCGGATATATCCTTATGGACCGGAATCCATCTGAGGGCCAGCCTGTTTCGGCTGCCCAGTATATTTAGCTTACTCTTCACCTCTAGGACTAGCTTCGAGGTGATTTTGTTGCTATGTAAAGCAGTAATTGCTGCTCGGCTGTCCGAAAGGATCGATATGTCCTTTTCCTTGTATCCACGCTGTATGTTGAGCTTTGCACAACGTCCAATGGCACATACCTCAGCCTGGAATATGCTGGTGTATTGGCCAAGGGATTCGTGGTATTTTATGCGAGGCCCTACCACTCCAAGGCCCGTGCCTTGTTGTGTCAGGGATCCATCTGTGTACCATGCAATGGTGTGTTTAGCCATCGGGTGCACTTCAGACAGTGTGGTCCAATCATTCTTATTGCCTAGGTGTGCTGCGAAGTTCTGCTCGAAGATTAGTTCGGCTGTCATTTCATCCCTAGGGTGGAGTATTAGGGGCACCTCACCTAACAGATTAGTCGCATCCCTGTTATTTAGAATGCAACCACTACCTGTGCCCTCAGTGCTTATTCTCAGGAGTGTAGCTTTGCGTTGGATATCAATCACATAGTGGAGTGGTGTTAGCTCCATCAAAACTTCTAAGGCAGTTATAGGACAGGTCCTCATTGCCCCTGTCATGCATACGCAGGCAAGTCTTTGTAGTTTTCCTAGCTGGTTTTGCATGCTGATGAGCTTAGCTCGTTTGCCCCATGCAAGTGATCCGTAAGTGAGGATTGGTCTCACGATCATTAAGTATAGCCATCGTATTATCTGAGGCCTGGTTCCCCAGGATTTCCCAGCAATTTTCCGACAGGTATAGAGGGCTCTGTAACACTTTTCCAATATCTTTTGGACATGGGAAGCGAAAGTCAGTTTACTATCTAAAGTGATTCCCAGATATTTAACCTCTCGGCTAGTTTCTATAGGAGTTCCTAGCAGTGAGATTTGTCTCATTCTCTGTAGTTTGTTTCCTTGTGAAAGGAACGATGACTGTCTTAGCAGGATTTAAGTTGAGTCCAACCTCCCTGCACCAGTCCAGCGTTGTCCTTAGTCCGAGTTGGACGATGTCGCAGAGTGTCGCTTCAAATTTGCCTCTGGCGATTATCACGATGTCATCGGCGTATCCCTGACATTGAATTCCTTTTCCAGCAA